AAGGAGGCAACATAGAGCAGAATGGTTTGGATAAACTCTAATGCAATCCAGAAATAGAATCACAGAATGGTTTGGGTTGGAAGGGACCCTCAAGCTCATCTTGTTCCACTCCCTACCATGGGCAGGGACACCTTCCACTATCCTAGATTGCTCCAAGCCCTGTCCAACCTGGCCTTGAACACTTCCAGGGATGGGACAGCCACAGCTTCTCTGGGCAACCTGTGCCAGCATCTGACTGGTTCAGTCAGAGCTATCGAATGAGCAGTTTTTAGTACCCATTTCCCCTAAGAGGTTCATATTTGTACTCCTACCCCAATCTTAATTCTGTTTTATTGTAATACTGCACCTGGCAGACAAAGTGCCCTCGCACCTCTTTTTTGGACTGCCAGGTCTTCAATCATAAACTCTTTTTACTGTGGCTGCAGTTGTTTCGCAGCGGAGAATTATGGTTTAGTGTTTCATTTGCAGAGAAACAGAGTCCCTACTGCTGCTGTGGGATTGTATCCTGCAGCAGTTCTCCTCTTCTAGGGAGCACTGGTTTACCTGTGCTGCTTTGGGGTGTCCATGTCCACCTGTCTTTCCTACTGGCAGAGCTTTTGGCAGACAGGGGGAACATTCTAGTACAACTCAGGTGCTGTTTTAAATGTGCTTTGTTCTATAAGCCTGGTTTGTTCTATAAGCCTGGTGGAGTTCAGCCTTCATATTCATAGATACATAAATATGCCCTGTGTGGTCTCCCAAGGGGAAGGCAAAATGTGTTTTTAGTTAAGTTGCATGGGAATTTAATTGAAAGATTTAGGGCAATGCCATAAAAGAGTAAATCACGGCTGCGTGACACAAAGAAGATTTATAAAGCCAAATAAAAATTCTTTAGCACCTTCACTATTATAATTTGCTTGATATAAGTGGAAACCTGTATTAGTCATTTTGTCTGCTGGTAATTAAAAAAGAAAGTAAAGGCTTTCATATTTTACTGATTTTCAGTCCTTTGGACTGAAATAACGGGGAAGACAGTAGCAAAGGGCAGAGCATTCCTTGGACATGCCAGAGCTCTAAACCTGCAGGAATGCTCAGCTTCCTTCCCAGGAACATTTGAATTAGTTAAGCACATGCTTAACATGATTTCACACAAGTAGTTACTCAGAAGGACTGTGAACTGATTCAGATGATGCACGAGCTTGGTGTTAGACTGCAGCTTGTGTGATGGTGGCCCTGAAATTTGGCCGGTTTCCAAGGCACTGGGGCTACTGCTTTGTGGAAGAAGGTCATTTATCCCACGGTGAAATACTCAGGGATATTTCGGAGGGGAGAGCTAAGGCAGTGTGTCAGGAATGTGACCTTCAGCGCAGGTTTAGTGAGGATTCACACACTGTATTTATTGAAGAGTACTGTATGTATTAAATGCTGTAGTGTTGATAGGTCTCGATAAGGACACCATAATAGCGGTTGAATTGTAGGGGGGTTTTGTGAGATGGTAAGTTAATGATGTAGCTGTTAATTTGAATTTAGCAGACGTTTTAAATATAGGTTTCTCTTACAGAGACAAAAGTTGCAATTTAAAGCTCTTTGGTGGTCTAAAAACAGCTTAATTCTCTAGTAGCATGGTAATAAGTACTAATCCAGCTTATGCAGTGATTGTAGTATGTCATGTTTGTGAAAGATTGCCTAACTCTGCTTTCTCTGGGTTTTATGTTAATTTTTTTAAATTAAACATAAAACCTTATAACATCTTTATGCTGAGATAAACTGTTCAATTTAACTTGTGCTCAAGCAGCAGCTGTCAGGAATTATCATGTTTCGAGCGTTCTTGCCATCACCTTGTGTCTCTACCTCCCGGATACACTCCGTGGGATGATAAAGCTCACCTTGTTAGGATTTATTACTTAAATAATAACCCGAGGTAAAATGAAAGTTGATGTCACGCGGAATGACAACTGACACATATTTATGTCGCACGTTCCATTATAATAAACTTTCCTTTTCTTCCCCTTGTAATAGGTGTTAAATGGAAATACACTCCAGCATATCCTCCAGTGCCCTGCGTGAGTCCATTAGCCGCGTGCGAGGCTGCTCTGTGGGCATGTTCAGGGGGACTCGTGCTGTCAGGTGTTATTTAAGCTTATAAACCCAGGGAAATTGGTTAGTGCTGGTAGTTAACAGCTTTTATGCCGGTAAAGAAGCGAGTGTAAGAGCGTCTCGTAGTTGGGATATATTCTGGAAGCGCTGTGAAGTAACGCAAGTGAATCAAGGAGGGCGTTTTCTAATAAATGGGTTTATTTTTTGTTTTTCTTTCTTGCTGTAAGAAATGTAAGCGGTGTCATTTCAGGCTCTAAATCTGAATCTGCTTGTCATTGCAACAGTTTTCTCTTGACACCAGTTTATTGTGCTGAGCTGGGCAGCGATAAGTGATCTGCTTGTTAGTTGAGTCTTATCACTTTCTATTTACAGTGAAGAAAATTTAGGTCTACTTCTTGCAAGCTTTCCAAGTTTTCAGTCCTTCTTGCCGTAGCCAGCCTCCAGCACACTCTAATGATGCTATTGAATTCCTCCAGTTTGCCTAAGCCAGTACTGCAAACACTATTTTCCTTTCCTGTGGCTATAACCATCTTTTTTTCATATTCTTCTCCTAATTATCCCATTGTCGAGCTGAGCAAGTTCAGATGTTTCAGAGCTACATGGTTTTGTCCAAGCTTAAATTGGATCTCTTCTCTCATTGTCTCCCCATTGCTCTTTTCTCTCCAGTCAGCATGTCAGCCTTGGCTCCTCCACTATTTCCACTTCCACCCTTGCTCTGCGCTGCTTCCCGTGTTTTCAGTCCCAATGTGCCATCTCTTTTTTCCACTCTCTTTCTTCAAGCTGAGCCAAGTTCATCGTTGCTATCCTGCATCAGTTTTCTTCCTAACTCATCACAGAAAAGGATTGGAAGGGACCTTGAAGCTCATCTTGTTCCACCCACTGCCATGGGCAGTGACACCTTTCACTATTCCAGGTTCTCCAAGGCACGTCCAACCTGGCCTTGGGCACTTCCAGGCACTTCCCACTTTCTCTGGGCAACCTGTGGCAGGGCCTCACTACCCTCCCAGCTGAGAATTCATTCCTATGTCTAATGTAAACCCACCCTTTTTCAGTGGGAAACCATTTTCCCTTGTCCCATCAGTAACCTGATTTTTTCCCAAGCAACCATTTCATCTCATTTTTGTGATTTTTGGGGTATGTTTTCTCCAGTTTGCATTTTTCTTTGTCACTCCAGTGCTAAACTCGCAGCAGTGTTTGAGCAGGGATATTGCTTTGCCCCCAGGAAGCTTTCCTGTCTCTGCTTTTGAGCCTGGCACCCAGGTCATTACAAGGTCCACAGGTCATTACTCACGGTGACAAATAAGTAATGACTTACGTAAAACTATTTTTTTCCTCCTGGTATGGCTTGTAATCAACCTGAGCTCATATCTTAATTGTCATTCTGTTTGACAGGCCCTCTAGAACCATCAAATATTTGATGAACAAGGCAATAACATTCATCTCTTACTTTCGTAAACCTTTCAGATCAGCATTGACTCAGGTTGATGAAGATGGATACAGGATCTGTTCCCCAGGAACTGCTTGTTCTGCAGATACAGATTATCTAAGAAGGGTGTAAGTTAGGATAGGATATGACATGGTGTGATATGTATGAGTGTTTGGGGAAGTTCATGAGTTTTGAGGTTGACAGCCAGAATCAGAAGTTTATGATATTAGTGATGTGGGTTTGGCAGTAACCTTGAACACAAAATTCGTGTAAAAAGAGGAAGAATGTGAATAAAAATGGGGAAAAAGATAGAAAAAACAGGAAATATTTTAAAATAATAAAACATTGCATAAATCAGTTCTGAATCTGAACCACTAAAATGGTGCATAGCAAAAAAAAAAAAAACAATTCAGAAATAGACTGTGTTGGAAAGTAGTTTATTAAAGCTTAATGTTCTGTGTACAATAAATATCAGATCTCAATTTTTTTTTTAATCCCTTGTGATAAGAAACACAGAGCACAAATGTCTGAGGCTCTGCAGCTCTCTGAAGGTTCAGGATTCAGTTCGCTTGGAAGCAATGCGAGCCAGGGGCCGGGAGATGCTCCCAAACTTCTGGTGAAAAGCAGGGAAATCTACCACTGGTTACAGTAGGGTCACGATTTCGTATTAAACATTTAAATACATTCGTTTTCTGATGGCCTGGGAAGTTATACAGGGCTAGGATAGCAGCTTGTTAGTGCTGTTTGTGCCTGCTTTATCTAATTGAAGGATGCGTGCAGTGGTGTGCACTGTGGAATAGCAGGAGTGCTGCGGCAGGACTGGGGCGCAAGGCTAGGAACAACATTTCATTACAGAGGATACCTAATAAAAATGTGAAAGGAAACCAGAAAAAGGGTGGGTGGGGGGGAAAGAAAAGCAGACCATGCTAGATAAATGCACTGCATAAATCAAAAGGGTTTATGTCATAACATGAACATGTGCCATTCCTGCTCATATATTGAATTTCAGTAGTCGGTTGCATAAAGAAGTAAAGTGTAATGAAACTGGCAAGCAAAGTATTCCCTAGTCAGCCTTATCTTTGTTCCATTTGTCCTTCAGATACAGCTTTTCTTGCCTTTTTCAATAAAATCCATCCAGCTTTTTTTTTTTTTTTTTTTTTTTTTTTTTTTTTTTTTTTTTTTTTTTTTTTTTTTTTTTTTTTTTTTTTTTTTTTTTTTTTTTTTTTTTTTTTTTTTTTTTTTTTTTATTTTGCATCTCTCTGTAACCGAGCTGGGAAGACCAATGAGATTCGGTGCTTTTCTAGTTGGGTTCTTAGCAGCTGCTTTTTAAGAGATCAAAACTTCGAATGCTGCTACATGGTATTAAGGCTTAGCTATTGATGTGTCCCTATAGGGGTTATGTTTTTCTTGGGGAGGGGCGGGGAGTGGAGGGAAGGGGAAGGGGTGACCCCTGCGAGCACACTCACTGACAGGAAACACTGCTCTCCTTGTTTTCCAGGATCCTCTTTGCAAGCTCGGTGCTTAACCTGGCTGAACTCGCTGCCCTCCGCCCTGACCTTGGCAAATTGAAAAAGGTCCTCTACTTCCATGAGAACCAATTGGCGTATCCTGTCCAGAAATGCCAGGAAAGGGATTTTCAGTATGGATACAACCAGGTTCTTTCATGGTAGGTGTTGCTTTGTGCTGCTCCGTGTTACTTAAGGTGTCCTCCTGTCCACAGCATCATAACCCTGAGGAGTCCTTCTCTGTATAATTTTTTTTTAATTAATTATTCTGTATTAATATTTTACAAGAGCGTGTAGTGTCAGGACAAGGGGGATTGGCTTCAAACTGTGAAAGAAAGTTACTTTAAATTACATATTAGGAAGAAATTTTTCCCTGTGAGGGTGGTGAGGCACTGGAACAAGTTGCCCAGAAAAGCTGCAGCTGCCCCATCCGTGGAACTGTTCAAGGCCAGGTTTGGACAGGGATTGGAGCAACCTGGGATGGTGGAAGGTATCCCTGCCTTGTGTTGCAGGGGGTTGGAACGAGATGAGCTTTAAGGTCCCTTCCAACCCAGGCCATTCTATGATTCTGTAAACAACGACCCTGTAGCAAACTGAGGTACCAGCAGAGCCCTGAGGAGAGGTTGATAAAGATGCTGTGACAGAAGCAACCTGCTCTAAAAAGTCATCTCAGTTTGTTGTATAAAGTCATCGATGCTGCCATGGTGTGCCCGTTGCTGGTGGGGATTTTGACCTGTGCCTTGGCTGCAAGTGATGCTTTGTTTCACGGATGCCTCACAAAGCTGCAGCTACTCAGCTCTTGCCTGGCCATAGCTTTTACTGCATCCAGCTGAAATTACAGAGAGGGTTTTAGGGAAATAAACAGAAATTAAAACATACTGCGGCACTTTTCATGTGAAGAGAGGGCAGTAAACATACCAGATAAATCCTTATATTTCTTTCGTCTAGTATTCAGAAATTGTGCAGTGCTAAAATACCCAGACGTTTTAAAGGCTGCAGTCCTTTATTGTTGCTAAAAACAAATGTATTTCTCGAATCTGAGTTAATGAAAGAAGTTAATAACAGCACCACTGAAAAGCTTTGTGGTTAGGCACTGCACAGACCTAAGTGAAACAGCAAAACTCGCTTGTTTTAAACAGAAATAAATTCATTTCCATGATCTGTCTCACCTCTCTGCTGGGAGGAGAATTATTAAGAATAGGGATTGAGCATCTTAAGTTAAAGTTAAGCTTTTGCATCTTTATAATCTAAGCCAGTTGATGTTGAAATTTCTCAAATAATGATCTGTGTATGCTCTGGCCATTCTGCAGCTGCTTCTGCCACGGCATTTGCAACATGTTTCACTTACTGAGCTGCAGAGTAAGAAAGTGGAGTGAAAGATCTTTTGAAAACAGTAGCAGCCATTTTCAGATGTTCTAACAAGCAGAAGTGTTTTTCAGCACCAGGAAAGGAATATTTTTTTATATGTATATATTTTGCTTTATTATGACAGTAATTTTTCGTGCATCTGTTGTAAACTGACAAGCATTTATCCTCAAAACACGCAGTTTTAAGTTTCTTCTCTTATTAGAAAAAAAAAAAAAAGATGATTTTTACAGTTCATAGAATCATGGAATGGTTTGGGTTGGAAGGAATCCTCGGGCTCATCTCATTCCAAGCCTCCATCATGGGCAGGGACACCTTCCACTAGACCAGATTGCTCCAAGCCCTGTCCAACCTGGCCTTGGACACTTCCAGGGATGGGGCAATAGGTCTCCCTTGTATCTCCTGCAGCCTCCAATAGCTTCTCCACAAAATTATATAAGATTCACCTCTCATTTCTGTTGCTGCAGAAACCCCAGTTTAAGAGAAGATAGAATCCATCTCCACTGTTCCTTACTCCACATCTGCAAAGAGATGCCATCTTCTCATCTTCCATATCTGGTAGAAAGGGAAAATGTATCTTTCCAGTATTGTGCAGAGGTTTCAGAGACAATTAAAATTACAGGACTTTGAATCTTCAGGTTGGTGATCATTAAGATCACCAGGCTTTGGATCATTAAGAAGGAGGATTCTTTTTTTTTGTCCCTGATGTTTTTAGAGAGTTAATTTTTCTAATTTGCCACTGATTTGCAGAGCCTGCAGGAAAAAGTTAGGGCAGATAAGATTTTATGCACAAGAGAAGCTGAGATGATGGTGCTGGAGCCTTTGCTACCTGTCAGAGAGCAGCAAAGAAACGTGCCGGGCTCCTGCGCTGCCTCATGTCATCTGTAAATCAGTGCAGAAAAGATGACTTTTGTGCCAAACTGAGGCACTAACGGGTTAAAAACCATAGGTGGGAAAGAGGATGGGATGCCAGAAAGCATTTCAGCTCCCACAGCTTCCTTGAAAAGGATTATTTCTCTCTCTAATGTTGGGGTTTTTTTTGCTTTTCCTGCTGACTCCTGGTGAGCAGTGTCAGTTCTCTTTCTTGACCAGGCAGCAGAGAGATGCAGTGAGGATGAATGACAGCCTCTCACCTCAAATATACTTTTCACCAGCCTGGTGACTTATGAACACATGTCCTCCATGTATCTTATGACCCATAGGTCTGTATTACAATATATAACATATTGAGAAAACCAACTGGCCATAAAGCATTTCTTACCTCTGTTAGTGTTGCCTGTATGTTGGTGTAGCCCAGATTGTGGCAGCACTGCCAGGATAAACTTCCAGCTATTTCAGGTTTTTGATAGCTTCTTGTTTTCTTTAGGCTGATTCTAAGTGGAGAAGTAAGCCCTGTGTTGTCATTAAACTACATCTTATAATGATTGGTCTGGTTGATTTTAAAGCAAAGCAGTAAAAACAAAACATTACATTAATATGCCAAGTCGAGCATATTAATGTGAAGTTTTTTAAAACTTTTTTTTGGTACTGTATGCTGTATATTTTTTTATTTTTACATATATTTATATAATGAATATACTTTTAATCAGGATTATATCCACAGAAGTTAAAATAACACTCCATTTCTCTAGTATCCTGCTACCTGACACACATGGGCTGTTGCAGGTAGTTTAATCAAACATAAGTTGTCCTTCAGCACACAGGAATATTTCTAAAGAATTTTCATTTTCTTCCAAGTTTAAAAAGTCTACAAAAATCAGGTTACAATGGGTCCTACCTGTGTGTAATGCTTTTAAGAGATATGACAGTAATACTATGCTTCCCATTTTATGACTAAAAATCCACAGCAAGAATAGGGTGTTCTCCTTTACATTAAAAATAGTAATTTAATATTAGTTTTAAAAGGTTTAACATTTTTTCAAAGGCTGAATAGACAGAAATCAAGATATTTCTGATTAAGGTACATGTGCTACCCCTAATTCACATGCAGAGGCTGATTTTGATTAGTATTCACTTGCACCTTTTGCTTGTTTATAAGAAAATATATTGTATTTTCACTGCATGTAAAATAATTCCTTTCCTTCTGTGGCAGCAGTATGTTCATTAATTTTCACCACTTTTTACAGTTTGGTTGCTGATGCTGTGGTGTTCAACTCTGCTTTTAATATGGAATCATTTCTTACATCCATTGGAAAATTTATGAAGCTGATTCCTGACCACAGACCTAAGGATTTGGAAAAAATAATCAGACCGAAGTGCCAAGTTCTTTATTTTCCAGTCAGGTTTCCTGATGTGAGCAGGTCAGTACATTTTCCACGTCATAAATTGCCTCCAGCCTGTCAAAACTCTGTATTTATGGCGACGTTCTGACTAATCAGCTAAAGCATCGTTAATGAAAGAGTTTGATAATATGCGAACCCCCCTAATTGATAAATGTATTTCAATAATCAGGGGCTATCCAGGCAGCCAAGCCTGTCCTCAGTGCCTGTCTTGCAGGCTTGCATCGTTCGGGATGAGTGATTTCCCACTTGTTTTAGTGATTTCCCACTTGTTTTAGTCTTTGAGGGGTTCCTACTCCTCAGCTCTGTGTACATTTTGTGCAGGGGAGGTCAAGGAGGAGAGAGAAATGCTGGAGAACAGTAAAAATGATAAGCCTGCAGCCAAGGAGTGATATTTCCCTCGGTGTTGTCGCGGTGGGATTTTATTCCCTCCTCCCTCCCCTACCTCTTTTATGGCTTTCCAGGTAGGCAGAAAGCATTCCTGTGGCAGGGAGCAGACTTGCAGATGTTGGCATTAGCTGCAGCCGGAGTTGCTCTTCACTCCTCCTCGGTTACTCTGAAGGACGTTTTTTATTACCCTCGTTTCAGAGCCCGTCTTGAAATTAGCGGTGGGTTATGTGGCTCAAAGGGAACATTCTCTGGATCCTTTTCACTTTTGATTAAACCTGGCACAATTGTTTTTCCTCTTATAAGGGGCTCTCCTCCCACCGAACAGGAACTTTGCTTCAATGGGACCGGCACTAAATAGAGTATGATTCTGCAATTTGATTATACTCTTACAACCAACACCGAGCTAGGTACATTTTTTTTTTACTGAAATAACGATGGAAAGCACTGCAATGACTTTGCAAGAGCCTGGCTTTTGATCTGATAGTAAGTTCTGGCCACACTTGAGATCTTTGTCCCTGACCAGCCTGTACTTACAGTTATTTCAAAGGCTAAATATACATCTGTGGTAGTTTGAGGTAGAGAAATTTTTAGTGCGGGAGCTGAGGTCGTGCACTCGCTGGGGTTCAGCACTGCAAGGTTTGGGTTTCAGCGTCCTGGAAAACTTTGTATTCTGAAATACCGATGCAAATCGTTTAGAAATCAACGTCTAAAGTTAAACCTTTAAACCTCTACTTCTGAGAAGCAGGTTTAATTCCTCCAGTGTTCCTCTGGGACTTGGCTGGCAGCGAAGGGCAGTACCTGTGTATCTTTGAGGATCTGCTCTTCCTTCTCGGAGACCAGATTTTTCAGGCGCGAGGGAATGCTGTGGGTGCTCAGCATATTTGATATCGAGCCAATTTCGGAGGGTCTCGTGGTTTTGGCATACCTTACGAAGTCATGTGGCCCAAGCCTGGTTTTGGAGATGAAGTTGTGATAACCCTGTCTCGTATATTAAATCAGCTCTTTCGGACTTGTCAGCCCTGGCAGATGGGGTCAGACGAGATCTGACAAATTAGGCTGAAGTCATACACTCAGCGATCGTTTGTCCAAAGCAGGAGGTGATTAGGTGGGTAAAATCATTAGGCTGATACCCAAACTGCTACAGTGGGAAGATCTCACATCTTCCTGTGTGCTTTTCTAGTGTCCTGCTCTCGGATTAAATCCCGTCTCACAAAGCAGGACACCTTTCCTGCTTTTATTGTGGTCGCTGGACTTACATCAAAAAACCTCTTTTCAACAGGATGGACAAAATTAAGGTGTTCATAAACAACTGTGTGACTGTAAAAATTTCACAGCAGAGTAACTAGAAATACAGATTAATTACAGCCCTATTATTTCTAATATACATTTCATTCAACAGCTAATTCTAGATGGAAGATCTGAGCTGTTTAGACAAAGCCCAATATCATCCCAGGGAAAAAAAAAAGGAGAAGAAAGGTCTGCTTTTGCTTAACTCTGAAGTTCTTTAGGTTTTGACCTTCAGCTGCAGCCGCTATTTACTATTTCTTTACATGTTTTACATAAAGTTGAATGCACCTGTGGCAATTCAATGCTGTTTTTTTTTTTTTTAATTTAAATTATATTAGTATAGTGACTGAATGGAGATGGAGGAGAAAAAGGTTAAGAAAAATTGTGGCCAAGCTAAAATTTATAAAGCAAGCTCTTAGCCCAGAGTGTTTTTCAAGTTATTTTCAAATGGTAATTTGCTTTATCCAAACCAAACTCATACAGTGTAAGTAAGTGATTATTTGCATGACTGACAATCATTTCAGTGCCTGCAGTCTCTTTAAAATGCATAATTTTGCTGAGATGTTGGGAAAATATTTAAAAATTCTGAAGGCAAAATAACCAGGGTGGAGGGGTTTTTTTTATTTTTTTATTTTGACCTCTTTTATTTTGCGTGTGAATGTCTCAGGGTATGTTTGTGTCTGAAACATAATCTACATTTGGATTTGGGAGGGAGAGGTGATCTAAGCAATCACCCTCACGCATGCGATGGTGAGCTTTTTTAGATTATTTTAGATTAATATTGCAGTTGTAGGGCAAAATAAAATATATCTGACCCTTGATCAAAGCCGGTGTAATAAAGGATCATGTCACAGGAGTTAATCCTGTAAAATATCTACCTTTTAATGTAATTACTGTAGGTGATGGGCACACAAACAGCACAAGCAGCATAGTCTGTGATCACTGAAGAGGGGAGTTATAATGATGGATACCATAGGAAACACTTGTGAATACCCTTAGAAGTAACACTACACATGTGTAATGTGTATTTAAATATTTCAGGTGGACATCTAACCACTGCTTTTCTGTTTCTGAGAGGAAGTTATTGATGTTTTTTTATAAAGAACCTTCTTTTCAATAAATACTTGTCGTAAGAGCGTGTGCTGGTGTTTCCCAGAGCAAACCACCAGACTGTGGTCCTTATCTGACAATGAGAAGAGATGAAAGGATTTCAGGATTTACCAGAATAAGATATTTACTGACTTAATCCTCCTGTTTTCTGGTTCTGACAACAACCAGCTTCCATAATGCATCCTGTGGTGCCACAATTACTCTGTATATACTCACCCCATATAATTTCTGATTCAAACTCTGCTCTTTGTGCCTTCTGGTGAAGTATATTATGTAGAAATACATATCAAGGTATTTCTAAGCTCAGAGACAAAAGACCCCTCCAAGTTAAGGCTGTCCCTCCACAATGCATTGGTGTTGCAAGGGTTGGAGACCAGTGGCTGATCTTCTGTGCCATATGTGCCGTGTATCAGACTGGGGGTTTATAGCACAGTGAGTTAAATACATCATATTTCACACTTATGTTGACATTGGCTTAATTTTAGCATATTTTCAATTGTAACATAAATAAAATCCTATTATTTTTTATTGTACAATCAATAGAGTCTATTTTGATATAATCTGTTTCCACTTTTGCACTGGAAAATGATGGTCTAGTAAGACAATTCCCTTTTGACTGATGTTATCCTTGGTACCCGCTTCTCCAAATGCCAGCAGAGCCCTCTGGAATACTTCTGCAAGGTCTTTGTTGGTATTTGGATATCCACTATCCTGGTCTAGTGAAAGGTGTCCCTGTCCATGGCAGGGAGTTGGAACTGGTTGATCTTAAAGGTCACTTCCAACCTAAACCATTCTGTGACTTTATATGAATACTCTCATCCCATCTGTATCCACATTGTCTGTGGCAGTCAGCAAAGTGGGGTCAAATTATGTACTCATTCCAATGAAAATTGTAATTTAGATTTTGGTTGTTATTGCTGTTCCTCTGATTGTAGTATATCTTTATTATTATCATCAAGTTGTGGTAGAAAAGGAAGATGTTTTTATAAGCAAGAATGAAGTAATGTTCCTCAGAGCTCAAAATTCACATTGTACTTAGGTGAAATAATATAAAAGAAACATGAGAGGATGAGAATTGCAGCAGAAAATAAAAATAGGGCTTTTTAAAGTGAAACTTGTTGGTGGGTATCTTGTACTATTGGCATTACACATTTTGAAGCAGAATTATAGATTTCAGACTTGCTTCTTCATGAACTTCATAAACTTAACAGGACATTTTAAACAATTTAGATTTATATTCTTTCAGTTATAATGTGAGAGAGGCAGAATTTTCCAAATTAGAGAGTATTCTAGGGCCAGTCAAGGGAGTTCATGACTAAATAGAAGATATTAAAAGATGCTGACAGTATTTCTTGTACAGAAACGTGACTGTCGCGTGTGGGTGAGTCTGTTTTGAGGAAATAAAAAAAAGAAAAAAAAAAATAATTGCATCACTTGGACCAGGTTTGCAGGACTGAGCTTTGCTGTGCTGGAAAAATGCAGGTGTTAATAAGCGAGGAGGGACTGGAATCCATAAGAGCCCAAAGCTATAGGTGGGCACTGGGGACATGTCTGCGTTGCACAGAGAAATGCTCACATGAGCTGTAGTGAACTGTCTTGCATCTGGGAAGCCATACACCTTAGAAGAACAGTTTTTTGGCTAATTAGCCCTCCAGTGAAATTGCATACATAAGCTTAGGTGGAGTGCTCGGCTAATGACAGCGATTGTGGTTCTGGGGGCCACTGCAGCCTTTGGTGGTGGCTCAGGCACGTCCATGGAGTGCTGTGCCCTCTCTGGTCGGCACAGCCTCCCTGCCACCACGGTTTATGGGTCATTAGCATAATTAGATAATGCCAGTAGACTGCTCCTACCTTGGGGCTTGCTGCTGAAGGAACTGGGTGATGGAAATTACTCCCCTGAATGTCTTTCCTCCTCACCTGCCGCAAGCGGGATCTGAGGGTCGGGGTTGGCACACTGAGAGTTACGCAGCAAGAGTGAGGGATGCTCTGAGGATCTGGGACACGGCACCTACTGGGAGGAAAGTGCAGTGTGGGAGCATAAAATGGAGTCTTTCCATTCTGGAGCCTTTGGCAGCAGGTTGGTTGCCTCCTGCACCTTTGGGACAGTGTTACCTGCAGGAAGCTGCACCTGCAGCGAGGCTTTAGGCGGTCGAATGAAGGACGCCTCAAACATCCGTATTCAGAGGTGCTTTCTTACATGGTGCTTCTTCCACACATGCCCTTGGAGGTCATGC